ATTACTCCAAGAAATTTGCAAAAAGTAAGTTGTATTTAAGTAAAACTGTCTCAAATTTCGGTAGTTCTTTTATTTGAATTCTAAGCCTTAAGTTTGTTGCATTTGAAGTTTTAAGGCTACAACTCATCTAGAACACCACTGCCTAAGTTCTCCCCGAGAAATGAGTGTCTCATACTGATCGAAAACAGGTCTCAGTCACTTACTCTTACGCTAATGATCCTATCAGATACCACGGTTGTTAACCAGAAGTTGAAAAGACCGTTAGTTTCTGTTTGAAATGCTACCCAAGGTAATTTGACCACGTTTCTATCAAAATATTTGGATCAAACATCATACAAAAGAATATATTTCATTCGCTTAAAACCACTGACTGACTTTGCCAGTGATGAAAGAAATTACAGTTTGAGTTCGTCACATAGATGAAAATAAGCGAATGATTGCCATGTAAACACTATTTGTAAATATATCGAAGTGCTGCTGCTAATCACAATCCTGAAGTTTGTATAAATTCTAACCTTCATCAGTCAGGTAACCTTTAAAATCCAACGAAAGTCTCACTGCACCACAGACATGCGTAACCTAGCCGGGTGAGTTAACTTCATGCCTCAGTAAGAATCGGTGGCCAGCTATCCTAAACTGACGGCTGCGCTACTTTCCATGGACGTAACAAAGTTTATGTTTATATATCTATATTAAAAAAAAACGACCGTACAAATTTAAAAAATAGAGAATTCCAGAAACAGCAGGAATTTTTGAATAGACTACACTCAAGTGATTCAAGCACTGAGCTTAGCAATTTCAACAATAATTAAATTATTACTGTGTACCTCTCAGTTCCAAGTCAAGACAAGAGTAAGACAGTGATTCTTACCATCATCCATTAGATCCCTCATGTGATGAACTGAATCTTGCGGCAGAATGTGGAAAGTGAGAAAACGAGCATTAATTAGACCGACAAAAAGATATTAGAAGTGGATTTTGCGGATAATTTATATTTTTTCCCTCACAAACCCCAATATTTACAAGCAAAAACCAACAAGTTAACAGAATACTCCAAATAAAAAACGAGAAAATATAGACTATGAAGATACCTGAATGGATCAAAACCCGAATACCCTCAACAGGGGAAATCTGAAGATAATCATCACTTTTACATACCTGGGCAGTATCATCTCAACTACCAGCATAAAAAATGAGGATGTCAAAGCGAGATAAGCTTCATTATTCTGAAATCAGTTTTGTGCGGAGAACTACAGTTCTCAAAATAAGGAAGGAGATTGAAATTTTCAACAGCACTGTTAAATCAGTCACTGTTTTTATATGGTTTAGCCACTTTGGACACGCTTCACTGGAAGCTTTTCCAACATCATACTTCAGAATCGTATCCACTGTTAACTACGCTAGATAATGAAGATCAGGTAGCTGTCACAAAAAGATAACCAAGTTACAAGAACTCTGACAAACCAGCCAAAAATCGTTTACCTAACAGATATGCACTAAGAAGTATAGATGAACTGCATATTCATTGAGGAAACCTTTAAGAGACACAGTATACGAGGCCATTGAGTGCCACCCGATTGAGGATCAGTAGGGTTGAGAATCTGAGGTTGACAGAAAGAGGACCACATGAAGAGAAATTTGAAAGTGATGATAGAAAAATGTGCTATGGATATTTATCTCCAAAGTCCTAGATTATATTGGTTACAGGATTTCATCATGAGCTGACATTGGTGAGAGAATAACATTAATAACATTAGTAAAATTTAATGATGACATGCAATGAGGTTACACATTAAATGAACGCAAAGAAGAGTATCACATGAAAGAATACCTTGCAACTCCCTCAAGATAGAGAGTCATCTCATTCATTTTAAAATAAGGAATTTTCTTTTTTTGTCACATTCAATTTGAATTCAGTGATCACTATAAATATGTTTGTTTTCTGAGATAACTACGAATAAATAAACCATGTTTTCAGGTTAATGTCAATAATGACTTTCAATCATCTTACTAAAATTGTATGGCATAAATATTGCCTTTTGAGTAGCATTTCGCAATCGTGCGGATTATTTTAGCATAAAATTCCAGGAATAGAATACATTTAAAACAAACTTCATACGAAAAACTCCATTATTTTAACTGTGTATTTCTGTGAATTCAGTAGCATGTGGCCATCTCAAAAAGAAGTGAACCCAATAATGTATCGGTACATTTATACACATTACAGTAAATACTGTGAGAAATGTTCACTTTTGTTTAAAATATCATTACGTTGAAATGCGAGTGGAACATAGGACTGCTACAGCACAGCTCCATTTTCTTCTATTTTTGCTGGGTCCACGTTTCCCCAAAATCTCTCATCTTCTCCTCGCACAACCTCCTCCATGTCAAACTTGGACGACGTACTTGTAGCTCCCCATTGAGATTCCACTCGAGAGTCTGGTGCACGACATCATTCGGCAGCCTCCTCAACGTATGCGCTCAATCCATATCCGTTTTCTCCTGCATATTTAATGAGCGATTGACTCCTGGTTGGTTTCTGCCATTGTTCCCTGTTGTTAATTCCTTCTAGCCGGTATTCGCTCTTCAATGTGGAGCCAGTAAAGGCAGCCATTAACAAACAACTGCAGTCGTCTTTGAGAAATACTTTTCATGACGTGCCAACCTTCCAACCAACATAAAAGAACTGACTGACTTAACACTGGTGCTGAAAATCCGAATCTTGTCCTTCAGGCTGAGTGCAGAAGATTGCAAAGCTGATTTCAGAGTGACGAATGTCTTCCTTGCCTTTCAGATTCTGGCTAGCGTTGACATCTTCATCCATGTTATCACCTGTGGTTGAAACAATGCTTCCTAGATAAGTGAAGGAAGTAACCTATTTAAACCTATCCCGTTGTTGTTGATTGGTGCTGGTTGTTGTTGTTGTTGCTGTTTCTGTTTCTGTAGGTTGGTTATCTTCATCACCTCTGTCTTCTCTATGTTCGCCGGCAGTCTTGTCTCCTCTTCTTTCTCTGCTAGTTTGTTGGTTTTCGTCTGTATGTCTCCGAATTTATGTGACATTAGACATGAATAATTCATACGTGGAATCCAGACGTTCTAGGATCTTCTTAACGGTCAATCCAACGTGTTCATAACTTCTCACTACCAACACACAGTCTGATGCATAGTCCAGTCTACTACAATTAGGAATATCATTGGTGATAATAGGCAGTCCGTCTTACTGCTGAATTCACTTCGAACGCAAGAGTAATGCATACATGAATTCAACAAATAATCATTCATTTTTCCTTGTCTGTAATCACTGAAAACAGGTATCAGATAAAGCTGTTCATGTTTATGATATCAGCCATATTCTGGAAAATGTACTCCAGTTTTAAGCAGTCTGTCATTTTCCTTTTCGGTTAATTCATTATATCTGACTAACCAGTAATCATGTAGTTGCTCTGAGAAATCCTGAAGTGTTTCTTAGTTCACATGTAGTCCTCATAACGTCATAGGTTGACAACTGAGGTAAAATAGGGAGTATACATCTTGTGACTTTCAATTATTATTATTATTGCTCCCTTGGGTTCCTAGTGGAACATAGGGTTTCAACCACACGTCTCCACTTGCTTCTGTCTTCTGGTGTTTTTTCACCTCGCCTAGATTACTAGCTCGCTAGTTTTCTCGCCGGTCCCAAGCCCGGGTAAGGAGGGAGGGTTGGGGCGTGCTGCTAGCAACTCCACCCCTGTAAAGCAACCAAATCGCTACAGAAACTTCAACGAATAAATATATTAAAAATTCTAAAAATATAAACAATAGCCTTATTTTTCGCTGGAGTCAGGGAAGTGAAATGACGCAGGCCGGTGAAAGCCTTCGGGAAGCCAGTCAACCGATGTGCCTTCTTTCGATGAAAGCAGAAGTAAGGATGGGTGCCTGGAATGTTCGTACAATGTACGAAACTGGAAAGGCTGCCCAGATAGCCGCTGAAATGAGAAGGTATAGAATAGAAGTGTTGGGAATCTGCGAGAGCAGATGGAACAGATGTAGAAGGTGCTAACTACCTACTGGAGAGACAGCAATCTTTTCCGGCCACCCAGAGGACAACCATGAGCACACCGAGGGAGTGGCCATCATGATGTTACCAACAGCAGCCAAAGCTCTCATGCAGACTTCATCTCAATTTCAAGAAAATGAAGACGGAGTCTACTGGACACAAGGTCAAGGAGAGGAGCAGATGTGGCTTCAGACCACTATCTAGTACAAGGGACTTTCAAGGTGAAACTAAAAGCCTCGAGGATAGCTGGGGATAGGCCACAATGCAAGTTCAACACTCAATTACTGAAGGATACAACCACAAAAGACACTTTCGCTGCAACTGTCAGAGCAACGCAGGAAACACTACGAGACATCACTGAAGAATCATACGTGGAAGAACACTGGAAGTCTCTGAAGGCGATTCTCAACGAAACGTGTTCAACGGTTTTAGGAAGAAAGAAGAGACAAGACAAGGAATGGCTCTCAACGGACACTTGGAAATTAATAGAAGAGAGGAAAATGGTGAAAGAGAAAATGATTCAAAGCAAGGACGGACAGGAGAAGGAGACGCTGAGCTCAACTTACACAGCACTGGACAAAGAAGTGAAGATGAGTGCTAGGAGGGACAAAAGACGATTCTATGACAACCTGGCCACTGAAGCTGAGAAGGCAGCAGGCAAACGGGACCTGAGGACATTATATCAGATAATCAAGTCTCTATCCGGGAAGAGATCAACACAAGTGAAACCTATAAAAGACAGCCAACGGAACCCAATTACCAAAAAAAGAAAAACGGATTAAACAATGTGACTTACAATAATGGTAACAAAATCAGAACCAATACTAGTGGATTCTCCCTAACGGTATAACAACTTAGTCTTGTTGACCATTTACTACCGGTCACACAAATGCATTAAACTGTTTTGCGAAACAAATTATACTTAGACAACGGAAATTTATATCTGCATTATGAATGTCATCTCTTGCTTAATTCATTCCAACTTCCTATTACGAAACCACACACAAGGATGTTTGGAATAAAGTTACATATATATATATAATCTTACATATCTACTGTCATTCGAAATTCTTCCACAACTTAAAGAAAATGGTTTTTGCAATTTTGTATGCTTAAACTAATAGTTACAATCGTTAAAATCCTTATGGACGTCTACTAAAGGAAAACGGTGCAAACATATATCAAACCTGTAAACTAATGAAGACTCATAAATCTAAGTTTACAATGCGGTGGAGTAATAATCTTGCATATCATGGTTACGATCAGTAATACCATTATCATTTTTGCAATTATAACATTTTTATTATTAGGAGTATTAGTGGCACTAGTATCATAATAACAGTATTGTTGTTTGCATTGTCTGCAGCAGTTACAATAATAATGATGATCGTAGAATCTGTGTAACCATCTACTTATCTCATATCAGTACTCGTTCATAAGTAATACAGAAATACAAAAAGGAGGAGTAAAGATGAAGAAATAAACAAAAGCAAGGAAAATACAGACCGATAGGAGAGAAAATGAACAACAGAATGATAATCTATGTATAGTATGTGTAATATTAGCGATAATTGCAGCAATAGTGGCAGTAGTAATTGCAATAATATTAAGCATAATCATTTGTTCTAATTTTGCAAAAGGTTGTTGTTGTTTTTTAATGTTCTATTTTATAATTCACGTATAACATATACAAAATAATTTTTTATATGTAACTGTTAATAATTCATCAGCAATGAATATTTTTTCAAATAGGATCGTTTATGCGATTACACACAGTTTACATTGATATATATGTCCCTTCCTAGTGAATTTCTAGATCAGTAGTGGACACACTTAATAAATACACCGAATTCATTGACCCCCAATCAAATTAATAATAGACTACACATAATTCATTCGTTTTGTAATGGGTTTATTATTACAGACCATAGTATTACTGCTTGTGTGAATATTGTTGTTGATATTACTGTTACTGATAGGTGGTTGTGTTGTTCGTGATAGTAAGGATTTCGGTGAAGTGGACTTCCTTCGTACAACGATGGTTTCATATTTGTTTTGACTTTTATTCTTCACTTTAATCCCTTTAAATTCACAGTTTGAATCTTCATGTTCATCATCTCCATCTTCTCCACTGGAAAGAATATCAGAATCATTGTGAATACCGTCTGGAACATTTGGTGCAGTAAAACAATTTGTATTAGATGATATATATAGAGAGTTAGGTATTATTTCATCAGAAACTATGGACATTCTGGAATAAAACTGGTGATTTCCGGTGCGATTATTGACAAATTCACTAATATCTATTGCTGATGGAGTACAAAGTGGTTGTAAGTGACTTGTGCCATTGTACATTCTGTTGTCACACGCATGATTAGCTGAGGATATTGCGTCATCTAATTCCTCTCCATCAACCCATATTTGAGGTGTTGAATTTACTGGTAACTGAGATGGTAGAAGTGAATTTAAAAGCTGATCTGTTGCCAAAGGGTAGATCAAGCTTGGTCTGTGTTCAATATCTATCTTTTCACCATTCAGTTTTATGTTACACGGAATAAGATTATTGGATGGGTTATTTTGATGTTTATAGCTGCTCTTCCTTTCAGTCACTTCAGATATTGTTGTTTTGCTAGTAAAAGAATTTGGGAATTTTTGATTTTCCGTCAGCAGCTGCATAGAATCTGTTGTATTTGTTTTGGGCACACATATAGGCTTACAACTTTTTCTACTCGTCAGACGAGTTGGTAACAATCGTTTTACAGATCTTGCACATACTTCCATCATGGTAAATAAGCTATTTTTCATGCTATCGGTCTTAGTAATTTTATCACCTCGAATCGTTTTACGATTAATATTGCGAGGTTTCCTTCCTGGTAACGGTAAACCGCTTTTCTCTGAAGCCACGCCGAGGCCTGATTTTGTCCCACTGCCACCCCCTGTTGCTTCCATGTCTTTACGTAGTGTCTTTAAGTATTTGTCTTCCATTAGCTGATTTTTCATGTACTTGTAATATGTATTAAAGTTATTCCCCACTATTGGTATTGCTAGACCAGTTACAATGCATCCAGATATTGCTGTCAGTGAGCCAACAAAATAACCTGCTCCGCCTTTAGGGTGCATGTCACCGTAACCAACTGCAGTCAGTGTGATTATTGACCACCAAAATGATTGTGGTATGTCAGGAAAGGTGTCATTCACGCGATATTCAGCTATATACATCATTGATGAGAATAAAAACATACCGTTCATCATTAAAAATCCTAGTAATACCAGTTCAGGTATACTTTTTTTCACTGTTAATATGAGTACTCTTAATCCACGAGAAATTTTTGAAATTTTGAATACACGTAATATTCTTAGTGCTTGTGTCATCGACAAAATATTCAGTAGCCACAGATACCCGGAGAGTTCGGTTTTCATTTGCTCACTGTCTGTCACTGACTTTTTAGGATAATAGTAATAATAATAGAATAATGACATATATACCCAATAGCTAACTAATATCACCATATCAAATATTGAAACGATAGATGAAAGAAATTTTGGCTTATCTGGTGCAAGTAGAACTTTGAGCAGGAATTCAAGTGTGAATAAACAGTTTAACGATATATCAAAGAAAACAAGACCTTCAGATGGTTCGGTTGAACAATCTTTTTGTATCTTTGGATTTGGACGCCATAATGAGTTATAACAAATGGATATAGGCGCATTAACAGTTTTATTTGCATGTGGAAATTGTTTATTTCTCATCACATCAGGTGGAGTAGATTTATGTGATAAAGACTGATGTGACAGCTGCTTTGTAGGCAACGACTGCAATAAATGGTCAAGATGACCGTTGTGAGATATAGGTTCGAGTGAACCTGTTGGATGTAATTCTGCATTCGCTTGAATAATACTGGATCGTGTTCTGAAGACTTCATGTGTGGATAGACAATAGCACATCACAGAGGCGATCATTAAAACAAGCAGAACAGATGCCCATATCTAAATAAGTGAAATAAAAGTAAGTAGTAATTTTAGAAATATATAGGAACATAAAACAAATGAAATGTCAAACAAAGTGTAAAAATACTCATCTGATTTGTCGCCAACAATTGCACCTTACAAACCTAATCATATATCAGTTTTCACATTATCAAAAAATGTTGAGGGAGTCTAATTTAAATGTAAATTCTGTGCTTTTCAGCCTATTCTCTTGATTATTTCGATGTACATATTGCTGCCAAATCTGTATCAGAATACCTCATAAGTATTATCTAAGCCTTTCTATATGGAATGCATATACTGTAAGGAAATAGTAATTCGTTCAGTTATATTTACTTTATTTATTGTAATGTCGTTTGGAACTGACTATACTTTTAGCTCTCGAATGCATAACATGCACACTGACGGTAATGCCTAAGACGTATGAAGTGACAGATTTGGTTTCTCAGTGTTACTCAACTCTGTATATTTAACGTCATATTTCACTATCTAAATTGTTTTTGCGGTCATTGGTTCAGCATTCTACAAGTATAACAGAAATGTTTTGCCACTACTGTCAACCGTCTTATCAAAAGCAGTTCTGTACTTAATTAATGGTTTCAGGTACCTAAAATATTTACAACAAATGTCACCTGGTAACTTATGCTCACCTCAAACCTAAGAATCCCTAAACATTCTATCTAACAATTAGTGCTATGTGAAAATACCTAAGTGAGTTTTCACCTTCTTATATAAAAATCATCACCTGCACGTTAAGTTCTCATCAGCTACTTGCTTATCAATTGAAACTGAGTTAGGTGATTGGACTGCCAGTTTGTTTCAATAAAAATAAGGTCAGTATTTAACCAATTCTGGGAGGAAATATCAAGAATGGACAATAATTTACGTATTTATCCATACTTACTGCAGGCTAAATATCCAAAAGTCTAATGTTAGTCTGGATAATTGCTATATTGCATTTGCGATCTGAAACCTAATGAGCAATTTAAATAGTTCGAGGGGTGAAATTTCATTGCAGTTTCCCTTATCCAGATCATAATTGTGTTCTATCTGATACCACAGATGGTCATCAAAAAGCGAGCATGAATGAATGCACTTACACTGAAGTGAGTAATTGTATACCACTCAAGTCAACCAGTAGTGCTTGCTAGCCAAATCGAAGTGATCCAAACACCAGACAGTTGTCATGCTCGCCTGGGGCTGAGCTCATCAGTTATGTACTCAACTGGACTCAGCTTAAAGCACCCAATCAGTTAAACCATTAGTTTGCTCAATTAGCTTCCCAGAAGACAAATGGATTTAACTGACTCAGCTCACCTGGTACGCTCCTGATGAGCTCCGCCCTAAACGAGTGTAACAGCAATTCAGTGTTTAGATCACTTTGATCTTGATAGCAAGCATTTCTGGTTGATTTGAGTAGTATACAACTACTCATCTCAACCAATAAGTAGTATATGGAGGACCAATAGTCAAGAGGCGTAACTTTCGATAATCTGTCTAAACTTTGGGGAAAAGCGTAGCCTTCCAAGTTATTCTCTACTTCATAACTCATGATACAGGTTTACTGATAAAAAATTACCCGCCCTTATCGATAACAGACAAATTAAAACAGAATTGTTTTAGTTATTCAAAGTCTTCTACCACTGAGCATATTAGCTTAAATAAATATCAGTGTCATCCTACAAAGTCAAGACCATCGTCTGGAAAGCATATAGAATGTCTTCAATTTCGACTGAAAAAAATGAGTCATACGATTATCTTTATAAATGTCAGTAACTAAATCAAGAGATTTTCAGGAGTATATGTTAAGCATCATGCAACGAAAACAAAGCATTATAAATTAAGCGAAATCTACTATGTATTCAATCAGAAACTGGAAATCGTCTATTGTTCCCAAAATTTGGTGTCCGATCGTGTATATACCACCGCCATCATTGTTCAACAAAAGCTTCATAAATAAGTTGAATTGGCTGCGTTGGTTTCAGCTGTTGGTCCTTTGCCACCTGGCATTTACTTGACAAAAACTGAAAATTGTCTTCCAAGGGTGAAATGGAATAGGCTTGAATATTATTCTCATTACTTAGATAAGTTGATATTTTGTAATAAGAAACTTGAGAGACAGGATCTACTGCAAGTCTTTAGTAATATTTACCTGGACACTAATTCAAGAAGAAAAATATCAAGATGTTATTTCGTTTTGAATTGTTCTTCTTTCTGTGGGAAGGACAAGTGTATCAGTGAATGAGATATTTTCAAGGAAACAACATAGAACTGACAATACATACAACTGCATACCATCACAACAGAGCAATTTTTCAAATTCCTTTTAGTTAAAAGTGAAAAATAGGGCTTCCCTCTTAAAGTTTTAGTAGCCAGGATGGAGTTTCTAGCCTCACGTTCAACTTTCACTCTTTTGCGGATTTACTACCGGCTAGACATAGCACTTTAGTTAGTTCATTTCGAGTTAAGCGTAAATGGAGATGAGAGTTAAATGATGAACAGCTAAGCAAATCACGCATACTTCGATTGATTTATTATCACAAATTATTCTGGTTTAATTTGCTCTAAGGTAAAATGTGTCATTACGTAAAATCATTAAGTTTCAATACCTTCATAATGATAGTTATTGTACAGGTGTAAGAAGGAATATATATACATATATATGTTTTAGTTTGAAGATTGGTATTCTTAGTTGTTAGAGCCAACAGAAAGCAGTATGGCAGCTACTCTTTCCTTTTTAATGTGGATTGGCACTTTAGGTATGACTGTTTTCTCAGAAAATTCTCATTGGGGCTTGTGTCGACTTTCGACATTATCGTTTCGTTGCATTAGGTGAAGTTAGTACATCATTAGTCACATTTTAAAGGAACATTTTTTGTCCATGATATGGAATAATGGAAACCCTAGTGACCACAACGAATTCTAACATAATTTGTTGTTATTCTAATATAAAATGTTCGATTTTGACTGTGCATTATTCCATTTCCTTTTATATCCAGTACTAATAACGATATGTTGTTAGCTATAAATGTTAGCTATCTATCTGTGACTCTGTCTATCTTACTATCAGCATCCATATACTTAATTTCCCTTTTTGATTGGTTGATTTGGATGCAGTCCAAACACGTATTATAGGTCTCTTTTAAATAGACTATTCAGGCCTGCCTGTTTGTTTCCATAGCTTGTCACTGTTACAATATTCACTCGGTAATAGCTGTAGCTGTCTAACAGAATTTAATGTTATCTTCAAAATAAGAATTCACATATTTAGTAACGCGTGATTTTCGCTTAGCAGCTCTTAATGCGCTGTATATGCTATTTAGGAATGAATATCAATCCTTACAGCTATTATCCATTTTGTTACATGAGGGTTGCAAAAATGTACTTTTACGGATTAAGGTGTAGTCCAGTGAGATGTGCCGACCTTCATATTCTCACTGTGGTAATTTCTGATGTACAAACCAATTTACGAAGAACATAATGTCCAGAGATAAGTTGGTATTCATTTAATCGCTGATTCGCCAAAGTTGTATATGTAGTCATTTCTTATTCGTACTAATGAAATATATATTGCAAAATAAATGCGTATGAAATAATTACATGATTTCACTAAGAAATTTGAAGAGAACAAGAAAAACAAATATGGCAGGATAATACATAACATAATATTTCGGAGATCCTTTTTTGACTGCTTAAAATCTAAACAATTTCAGAATATACACATTAGAAAAAGGTCTACAATATGCTTTTATAACTTTGGGGAGTTTGTGATGGAAACAACAAGTAACATAAGTTCGGAATAAATGTGTGTATTTAAATTAGGAAATGTTAGAGACAAAAACTGACTATTTATATGATACTTAGACGACTATTCTTGAAAAAGATGCGGTAAATTTCAACAAACAAAGTTTAACTGGAAACAATATGTTGGTAAAGAAATTTGAATAGCACTGTGAGCACGATGGACTACATTGTCACAGTGATATAATTATACTTGATCAGTTGTGGTAATTTCTTATTTTAGTATTGTCTGGTTAGTAAGCACTCAAAAAAATCCACCAAATGATAAAACTGAGCCTATACTACTGTTCTTCTATAGTCTTTATAGCTTTGTTCAAAAACAGAGCTATTCGACAAAAAATTAAGAAGGATCTTGTCTATCGATTGTGTGTAATTTAGCTGAAATCATACAAATAGTACTACAATATCTTTAGGCTCCAAAATGCAAAGGAATTTCTCTTGTTTTCTGAACACTGTATGGGAACGGTACCATTACATTATTTAGTCTATATTTCAATAAATTCACTGAACCATTTGTAACAAATCCCAGAATGATGTTAGATTTATGTTGTTTTTTCTCTTAGCATAGTATTTTTTCTTTAATACAGTTTGAAGTTTTCAAGATCAACCATCAAAAGAAGTTACATTTGCACTTTTAAATCATTGCAATCATTAATATTATGCCATTTTATTCCCTGAATTATCAAAACGTATCTCAGAAAAGGCTCAACTATTACCAGTTATTGAATTTAAGCGAAATTTACTAAAATTCATTATTTTGTCTATATAACTGCTTGAATGTTTTTGAAACATTAATTTCGTACGGATATAATTTACTGGAGGATGGCTGCCATTATAAACATACCAACTAGCAACATTGCACACCTTTCTCATGTTACTGATGACTCTTGTAGTATACTCGTTTACCACAGTGGGCCAACAGTGATCAAATAACATTCATTTCGTCTAGATTTCTAACCCTTCAGCCGTGCACACACACCTAATTCACTAGTAGTCACTGAAATCTATTATACTGGCTTGACGATTTTCATTTCGATCCCTGGTGGTGCCAAAGACTTGCTACTGCATATTCACAACCCAGGATGAAATAGATGTCCACTGCTGCCTGGTTTATACTGGTTCTCTAAGTGATGCTGGTTCGTGAGAATGTCAACTTTGACGCTTTATTTTGTAACAGCGAAACTCAAACAGAATAAGTA